CCTGCTAAAGACGTCCTCCATAAGACGTCCTACATCAGACGTTCTGCTAAAGACGTCCTGCATCAGAGGTCCTGCATCAGAGGTCCTGCTAAAGACGTCTTGCTAAAGACGTCCTGCATCAGACGTCCTGCATCAGACGTTCTGCTAAAGACGTCCTCCATAAGACGTTCTGCATCAGACGTTCTGCATCAGACGTTCTGCATCAGACGTTCTGCATCAGACGTTCTGCATCAGACGTCCTGCATCAGACGTCCTGCTAAAGACGTCCTGCTAAAGACGTCCTCCATAAGACGTCCTACATCAGACGTTCTCCTAAAGACGTCCTGCATCAGAGGTCCTGCATCAGAGGTCCTGCATCAGACGTCCTGCTAAAGACGTCCTGCTAAAGACGTCCTGCATCAGACGTCCTGCATCAGACGTCCTGCATCAGACGTCCTGCTAAAGACGTCCTGCTAAAGACGTCCTGCTAAAGACGTCCTGCATCAGACGTTCTGCTAAAGACGTCCTGCATCAGACGTCCTCCATAAGACGTCCTGCAGCGCCAAAGAGACTCTGACTTAACTGACCCTCGTCCTTTAAATTAAACATATGTCTATACGTGTAAATATATAAATAAATAAACATAAGAACACATGAATGATTCCTCTTTTGTCACGTGATTATGAAGAAATGAAACGTAGTTCTTCTTACCTTCATGTGTAGGAAGAGGTTGTGCGGTGGAGCAGAAGACGGTTGAGTTTCTCTCTGGGAGGCGAGATGACGTCAAAGCCCCCAAATCCACAGAAGCCTTTTTAACTTTGCATCTAAAAAAGATCAGAATTTAGTTTCAATCTAAATTAGAAATGTTGTCATTGAAGTAAACTTTCCTAATGTTGGGTGTTTAAGCAGAACCTCGTTATGAGTCAGCGTCTCAACATACTGAGATACTGAGTGAAAATATGAATGTTTCTCATTTTTATTTTACAGGATAATTTTTTATTCACAGCAGCAGAAATAAACTTCCATAGAAACTTTAATACGTCGAATCTACTGCTGTTTAAAAATGCAGTTCTTCATTAAGAACACAGGGAGGCAGCGTTGTCCTATTGTTATACTTCGTTATTATTAACTGGTTGATGATCAAAAATATCTGATTGTTTTTGAGTAACAAAAAGATATTCTATCTTTCGTTTCTTAGTTTATTGTCTCAATACATTTAATTCATGTGTTTCTTTCCTTTATGTTTTTTTCTATTTTGACACATTCTTTAGAAACTATTTATAGCTTCACATAGAGATGCATAGAAATATATTTTTTAAATATAAGTTTACAGAACTTTAACAATCGTGCAAAATACAGGTATCGCTTTTCCTTAAAGAAATATGATTGTGAATTAAGTGATTATTTAAAGAAAATCTAATCATGACTCAAGATGTAAATCTCATGATTGTTCCATCGTTTAGATTCACTATTGATCTCACAATCATTCTTCTTCTGAGGAGCTGACCATCAACACAAATAAAACATTACAATCTTGTTTTTTTGTGCTTTTAATGTGAAGTTTCCTTTGAGAACCAGTTCACTGACAGTTTACTTCAGGTCCAGTAGGATTCAGTAGGAAGTGGATCCACAGCGTCATGAAGCATGAAACATGAAACAGAAATGTAGAAAACATTCATGAGGTCTGGAGGTGTGACCGAAGCCGGCGGTCACCAACACAGCACAGAGGAGTTCGTTATGAAGCAATATTTAATATCACGCGGTACAAAAGTAGAAAAAATTGACGAAGACATTTGGCAAAAAATAAAGTTTGAAATGAGAATAAAGTGTGCAGAAGGCCGCATGACGAGTTCACTGACCTCCGTTTAAACGGACGTCACACCTGTTTATCATTGGAGCTGCTCTGAACCAGATACACATCTGTGCATCTATACTGCATATAAATATATATACAGTACTGTGTACAGATACTGCAAGGGGTCAGCAGTCTCACCTCACAGATGGAGGTCACAGGTTTGATTCCCAGTCATCAGGTGTTCCTGGTTTTTCCATCTAAACCAGTGGTTCCCAACCTACAAATACGAGACTTTGAAATTTGAAAATATATTGATAATTCAACACGAAACAAGTTTATATTAATGGAATTCTGTCTTATTTCTATTTGGGGGGATAATAATGCACTAAGTTCAGAAGCTACAGCTCCCATAATGCTTTGGAGGAGTCAACAGGAAGCAAAATGTTGCCATGGAGTCAGTTAGTTAAATATATGCTAAAAATGTTTTGTATTTTTAGCCTATATTTCTTAATATTTTGACAAATTAGTGAATTAAAAGAATGCCGAACTAACTATTAGCAGCTCCTGTTTGCAGTGTTCTCATTGATGTACAGACAACTATCACTGGAATGCTCAGATACTGAAGAAAACTTAAAAACGTGATGACTCTCAGGTATGGGATGGTTTAACCCTCACCACACACATGAAATAAGCAGAACGGATCAACGCCCATATGAACGTGTCTGACGATGAATCAAACGCACCTCATTGAGTTCAGATGCCTAATGTGGCGTCACCAGGATCGCTTCATTTCAACGCCCCCTGGTTTAAATACTACCCTTTCTAAAAACACTCCCTGCAAGTGCTAATTTTAAAGTGCTGCTCCTCACATATAAGATTACATGGTCTAGCTCCATTTTACTTAATGAGCCTCATCACTACCTACGCTCTTAAAATGCTGGAACATTTCAGCAGGGAAGACACAAAAGATCCTCAGGCAGTAGTTTTCCCTCCTGTGAACCATTTAAATACAAAGAACTGACAGATTAAACCTGTTTATTCCTGCGGAGAACTCGTCTCCATAATGTAGGAAAGTGGCAGTGTAGTTGCCCTATTAATCTCCTGACGTCTTTCTTTGTCTTGTCCCTTAAATCCTTTAGTTATGGGGTTCTTCCTTGTCTTAGTCTACAGTAAATACAAAGTTCTAGTATGTTGAGCTCTTCAGTGGTTCATTTCACTTCTTGAAATACATTTTCATAATCATTACTCCATTAACTAGAAAGGTGACCTCAGCAGAGTGCGGATCTCCACCAGGTGTTTCTGCAACAACTCAAGCTGTATTTTGTGATTGAATGAAGACAACCCACAATTGGCTATCCTCCCCATCTAGACACCAATGGGCTGTAAGTCGTCGTAAAAAACACATCATTTAAACTCAAAAAGAAGCGGCGATGTATGCAGCCAACCGGCTTGAAGTCGTTGTATCAGGCACATCATGGAATCTTGCCAAAACCAAAAGGAAACAAATCAAACTGTCAGCTGCGTAACAGAGGCTGAGTGGCGGCGAGGTACTCAGCAGTAAGTCTGTTGGTAGTTCAGCTAGCGGTAAATCAAACAATCCAGCCAAAACAGTAAAAGTGAGCCGCAGAGCAGTGGGCGTGAGGTACTCAGCAGTGTTTGTTTGGTTAAGAGTAGCGAGTGAGTAATCAGCAGGCAGCCAATGGTGATATTAAACAGTCAATAAAAGGTGCTTTGAGAAAGTGTGACTCACTCTAACTCCTAGAGTTCCTTGAGCATGCGGCCATAACTGACCACCCAGAATATTATACAGTTTGCTGCAGCAGAATGCGAGCTATGCCGTGGACAGACACAGAGGTCACTCACTCACTCAGTCACATACGCACACATGCGACCAATCGCATAATGCTTCTGGTAGAGATAATAATAAGCGAGCATCTGAACACACCAGCATTTAAAATGATTTCTTACAGTCAAATAAATTATTTTTACTTAAAGTAAATATGATGAGTGAATCTCCACCGATGAACAATAGCAGAAAACATCTGAAACTTCTGGAGGACCACCAGTTTTTGTTCTTTGTTTGTTTTCTTGCAGGTTGAGGTTCGACACCGGGCCTCTTCAGCCGATCAGGTATCGTAGCCCTGCCACCAGTCCGAGCCCCGCACTCAGCACCGTCCACGTGGGCCTGAAGGTGGCTCCGCCGGCCTCCAGGTATAAAGTGTAGTTACAGGTAGGGGTGAGGTTAGCTGAGGTGGGGTAAGCCAAGGTGCGACCAGTCGTAGTGGGGATGTGGCGTAACATGAAGTCGTGTTTCATGGCGGAGTAGTGATCGGGACCATGCGGGACGGTTAGTGTCTCCGTCAAAACCTCGTGACCCGGGTACGTCACCTGCCAATCAGAAGAAAGGTAATGTCACGTGAGAGTGTAACATTCTACACACCGGAAAACGACACATTTTTATACCAGTTACTGCTACTGTGCTAAGCTAGTTCGCTTCTGCTATTGTCAACAGGCGTCCCACCAGGGGTACTGACAACAAAACAGGAACTCTCTGCTGAGTGCAATGATGCCTCCAACAAGAGATTGTGACAAACGGTTAATGAGTTATTAAAGTGGACGGGGCCAAAGTGTGTGGGGCAAGGCTAGGCTTCTATATTGGCATGTAAATGTCCTCAGGACTGGACCCTTCTGATGTCTGAGACATTTGGAGAAGATTGGACAAAGTATGCTGAAGTTTCAACAACTTTCTGTTTAATGGCGAAATGCGCTTCTTCTGCGCCACGCCACAGCAACAATGTCGCATGAAAACACAAACGTTTGCTAACTTTTGATCGTTAAGGTCTTTGGATTGTACTGACCAAATTTGAAGTTGATCTGATTAAATCTGTAGGAGGAGAGTGTACGCCGTCTATAAAATGGCAAACAATTGGCTAAAATGGCAAATTGAATTCAAAAAGGCTGACTTCCTGTTGGGTTTTGGGTATACTTTCAATATTTCAATAACTACAAAGATGTATCTAAACATGTTTCTACACTGTGGTTGAAGAGATAAAAGATATATATAAATATGTATATATATATATATATATATATGTTCCACCACTAGAGGTCGCTGTATTATCGTTGTGTGTTTACTGTGAAGCTGTAGTTTCCAGGCAGCAGCAGTCTGTAATATTCTCCGTGTCGGTCGGTGTTGAACGGACACATATTCCTGCGACCTCTAACCTCCACCACCGCGTTCTGGACCGGCTCTCCGGAGCCATCGAACACACGACCTTTGACACCTGAACACAAACATACACACACATGTACACAGATAGCATCAAGGTAAACAGACAGACAGGTAAACACACGGACAGGTGAACAGACAGACACGTAGACAGACAGGTACTGACCCAGGTGGACCTGCTGGATGAAGGCCAGCAGAGACTTCCTGTTCTCGGTCCACAGAACAGGAAGTTGTTGGACTGGCGGAAACTTGCAGCAGGAAACTTCCAGAGTCAACTCCAAACACTGAGCCCACACATAGTTATAGTCCTGCATCCCACCTGTACACACACACACACACACACACACACACACACACGAAATGTCAAATATCTTTTTAAATAAAAAGGATACAAGTTGGTAAAGTTGTGTAAAGTTAAAGTTAAGTTCTCATGTTAATATATATTCTAATCACAAAATGCCTCCTTCATTTTAAGGTTCTATGAGCCTTGAGTTTGAACAAAGAGCGAGTAAGAAGACACATAAACAAATATCGTCCGTCCAAAGGAGGAGAACATTTCCCTTTCAAACTTCAAACCAAATCTGTGTCTTTGTGTTCAGCCGGAGACGCTTGAAGGATTCTGTGTTCAGCTGCTTGTTTCTCATTTTGGCTGAACTTCAAAGATCATCAAAACCCAATGTCCAGATCCTTAGATGCATGTGTGTGTGTGTGTGTGTGTGTGTCCTACGCGCTCCTAAAAACACCCACAATCCTTTACGCACGATGCATGTCCTGTCCCCCGATTTAGGAACAGAGGAACTAAGCTAGTAAACCGGCTAGAACCGGCTTATTTTCACAACTAACTCTGTAAATTAAAGGTTCTCGGTTGATGGAACAGTCGAGATATTTAACGGAGACGGTTTTCATGAGTTTAGGCGGGTTTTACAATCAGTGAGGTACATTTACTGTGTTTCTCAACGGAGGCTGGTGGCTTTGAGAATACATTAATTGTATGTTTTATCCATCATAATAATTATTAAAAAAGAAAACCCTGTTGAAAATTCATATTCCTTCTTGAAATTGTAAAGTACTGAATTATTCTAATCAAAGAATAACAACAGAATAACATCTGACATACAAAAAGTCATTAAATGATGTGTTCAGAGTTCAGCTCCCTCAGGGGACGTCTCTGTCAGGTGATCCGGGTCACACAGATCCGGTTTCTGCAGCAGGAAACCGGATCGGTTCTGTCTGCAGCTTTCATGAGCTCAGAGCGTTCAGAGCAGACGAACTAATAAAGTTTATTTAAAGCGTTGCAGCCTTTCATAATGAGTCAAAAACGACGAAATAAAAACATAGAAATGTATCTGTTTTTGTTCTATTTCATTATAAAAAACGACAGAATACCACTTCCTGATTGGCTGCCGTGGATCCGGTGGGATCCTATAAATAGCGGCGTGCTGACCTGACAGAGGATACCACTGGTATCCGTTGGTGACTCCGTCCAGGAACGGGCTGGTGTCGCTGCAGAGGTTCCCCCGGTGCATGGAGGCGTGGCTCTGGGAGTACACCTTGGCCAGGTGAAGGAACACGTCGTCATCGGGCGTGACGCTGGCCCCGCCCACCAGCTCGCTGCCTGCACCGACCAGCAGGAGTGAGTTTTTAATCAAATGAATTAAATTAAACGTGTTACACAAAAGCTTGAGCTGAAAAACAGACTAAAAGGAAAAAGCGTACTCTTCAAAACAAAATGTTAAAGCATGAATTAAAATTTGTATTTATATTTCAAAATAAAATAAGAAAACAAATGCAAATAAAACCACTTAAGTCTGGTTATTGTTGTATTATCTATTTATAGTCAGATAATATTTATCTATTATCTGACAGTCTTCCTGCTGGTTTATTTTCTGGAGAACTTCTTACAACTTTAATTTTCTTTTATTCTATTATTTATTTGTGTTTATTTTGTGAACTAACGGCTTCGGTTTCTACCAGCAGAGGGAGCAGTCACTCAAACCTCCCGAGCTATAGATGAGAAGCTTGCCTTACAAATCGTATATTTAGGAAATAGTTTTTAGTAAACCAAGATACGAGACAAATCGTAACGTAGCATGATACACGGAATACATATAATACATACATCATGTGTTATATCATGAATTATCTTTGTCCTTGCAGCAAAAATATAAAAACCAAACTTCACCGTGAGTTTTGCCACTTTTGGACTTTAATTAAAGATTTTTTTACGGGTTTTTCTCAGTAAAATATTATCCTTAAACTTCAGTAAAAGTGATTTTACTCCAGGTTCACTCCAGCAGAAACTACGAAATGTGTGTGTGTGAGTGTGTGCGTGAGTGTGTGCGTGAGTGTGCGTGTGTGTGTGTGAGAGTGTGTGTGTGTATTTGTGAGTATGTGTGTGTTCACCTCCGTTGCTGTTGTCATAAGGATAACTGGCAACCATCGCTCCTCCGTGAAGGTTGGCAGAGAGGACGAAGCTCTCGGTCCTCAACCAGCCAATCACAGCTCTGACCTGAAGACACGTCACACAGCGACCGGCCAATCACAGAGGGTCCTTTCAAACACGTTCATTTAAGGAAAAGATGGTGACGCTCTGTAGTTTGTGTTTGAAGAAACTGGAGGAAATAGGGCTCGTTGTTTGGGGACTATCTTCAGCGGCGGATGAATCCACAGTTTGGTGGATACTTTACTTTGACTTTTGATGGGATTTGTTCATTTATGGGAGGAAGAGGAGAGAAAGGAGGAGAAGAGAGAGGAGGTGCAAGAGGAGGAGGAAGAGAGAGAGATAAGGGGGCGAGGTGAGGAAAAGGCGAGAAAGGAGGAGGAGAGAGAGGAGAGAGGGAGGAGGAAGAGAGAGAGAGAAAGGAGAGAGAAGGAAGAGGAAAAGGAGAGGGAGGAGGTTGAGTAAGTGGAGGAGATGAGGAGAAGTGGAGGGAGAGGAAGAGAGAGGAGAGGAGGAAGAAGAGAAGGAGTAAAATATAACTAATACTAGAAATAAAAAGATGGTGACGCTCTGAAGTTTGTATTTCAACAAACTGGAGGAAATAGAGCTCGTTGTTTTGGGACTATCTTCAGCGGCGGATGAATCCTCACTTGGTGGACACTTTACTTAATGTATAAATAAAACAGAACTTCGTGAGTTGATGTTTGAAAGCAGCAGCAGGTGTTTGACTCTCAGACCTCGTTCTCCCTCTGCTCCTCCTCCAGCTGCTGAATCCTCCGGAGACCAGCGAACGCATCGGGGAAGTTCCTGTTCAGGTCTACGCCGTTATTATTTGGCCTGAAACACACAAACACCACTGAGAGCAAACCAGATATACAGCAGCACAGAGGTCAGAGGTCAGAGGTCAGAGAGCTCATGGGTTTTTCTTTTGGTGAAACTAACGAGAGTCTGAAGACAAACTCACACAATCAGATTTATTAGATTTAAGAGAAGAAATACGAGATGTTTAATTTACTGTATACACAGATATAGAAAGCAAGGAGGAGGAGAGAGGAGGAGAGAGGAGGAAACAAGAGGGAGAAGGAGAGAGGAGGAGGAAACGAGAGAGGAGAAGGAGAGAGGAGGAGGAGAGAGGAGGAGGAAACGAGAGAGAGGATAAGGAGAGAGGAGGAGGAAGAGGAAATAGGAGAGAAGAGATAGGAAGAGGAGAGGGCGGAGGAGAGGAAGAAACGAGAGAGAGGAGGAGGAGAGAGGAGAGAGGAAAGGAGAGAGGAGAGAGGAGAGGAAGAAACAAGAGAGGAGAAGGAGMGAGGAGGAGGAGAGAGGAGATAGGAGAGAAGAGATAGGAAGAGGAGAGGGCGGAGGAGAGGAAGAAACGAGAGAGAGGAGGAGGAGAGAGGAAAGGAGAGAGGAGAAGGAGTGGAAGAAGGGGGGAGAAAAATACAAATAAATAAATGTGTAAATATAAATATTTATATAAAAAGATGAAGGACCTACAAGTTTTTCTGTAAACTGTAAACAAACACAACAGAGCAAAGTAATAAATATTACATTTTATTAAATATTTTATACTATA